AGTTACATTCACGGAGACAACAGATTTTAGATGAGCCAGCAAAGATCAGCAGTAGTTACCTAGTTTTCTATTCCATTAAAACTAAATCCCACCCCCTCCCAAGAAAAAATTCCCACTTGCAAAAATATCCTAGAATAGGGACTTCCCTGGTGGTCCAGTGGTTAAGAAACCGCCTTCCAATGCAGGGGACACGGGTTGGATCCCTGGTCAGGGAACTAAGATCCCACATGCTGCGGGGCAACTAAGCCCACGTGCCACAACTACTGAGCCCGTGTGCTCTAGAGCCCATGCACCACAACTAGAGAGAAGCCCATGTGCTGCAACTAGAGACGCCCGCACGCAGCAACAAAGAGCCCACGAACCACAAGGAAAGATCCCACATACGGCAACTAAGACCCTACGCAGTCAAATAAACAAACATTAAAAAAAAAAGATCCTAGAATAAAAGATTAAAATAAATGACTGCTTAGACTCCTACAATCCAATAATGCTTTAAAGAACCTAGAAATAAAACATTTGCCTATGGAAAAGCAATATATAGGCAGCTGGTAACTGTGTTACCCTTCAATCAAAAAACCCACAAACTTGGTTTAAGATCACACCTCAAAATGTCTCAAAATTTATGTATACTCATCCCGTAGGGAGGTCAAAAACTGAACTGGAAAAAATGTTCCAACTCTTCTTTGGCATTGCACATATATATTGTGTGTGTGTGTGTGTGTGTGTGTGTGTGTGAGAGAGATAGAGAGAGAGAGAGAGAGAGAGAGAGAGAGAGATGCACAGAAAGAGAGCGAAAGACATCACTCATGCAAATGTGCCAACATGTACTTGTACAAAGGGGGCGTGCCACTGAAGAAGCTATTTGTAGGACGGTTAGAAAAGCATATTCTGTTTCTCAAAATGAGAACTGTTCCTTAAGTAAAAGAAAGGTGATTAGTAGACTTAAGGTTTTTCAGTTTTTAAAGTGGTATGAATATGTGCTTGCTATGCTCTCACTATAACAAGTTTAGATGGATGGCTATGACAAAGAAAATATGACATCATCAGAATTACAGGTAAGACAAGGGGAAACCCAAAGTACAGACAAGAACACAGAAATATTTTTAAGAGAGTACAGATGTCATGACATTTATTAAAAGGCATGCTACAATGCTATACTTGTTAGGAAAGAGATTAGAGATATCAAGTAATAGTCAGCAAATATACAAACTGAACAAAAAGGGAATATATTGTAGTGTACAGAAGCTTGAATTAACCATGCACTACGCACTTAGAAAATATGTTTTTTAATATTTTATCTTCTCTTCGCATTTATAACATAATTCACTTCAATAATCACAGAATCCTTTTCTTCCAATGCCACAAACTGTGTTACAAATGAAAGCTGGTACTGCTGCTTATCAAAATATACAAGACAACTGATGTTTTATATAAAACCACTTTATATGTTAACTTGTTCCCAAAAACCGTTTTTTTTTTCTTTTTCGGCCTGGTTTTAAAAAATGTTGTTACAAATATTTACAGCGTTTTCTTCTGTTAGATGAACATTCTTATAAACTGAAAAAGGGAATTTTATGAACAGACCACATAAAACACGAGACAATGTTAGAGGCTCCTAGCTGTGCTATTTTTTTTTTTCTTAAATACAGTACTGAAAATGCCCATAAAACCCATGTTGTCCTAATCCATTCTGTTCACATTTAAACTCCCATTTTCTCTAAGTAGTCTATTCGCCGATAGGAAATAGAAAGTAAAGGCCGCTTTGCACTGGATCTTCTTTCAGAAAGGAGCTTGGGAAAAGAAATGCTTAACAGAAAGGAGTCAAAACCAGAACAGTCAGTCTTTGGTCAGAGCAATGAGGTGACATTTTGATGCAAAACTTTGCTTGGTCAGCAGTCTTTATAATTAGTACTTTTTGGATGTGGGATGGATTCTTTAAATATCTGGGTAACAATGGTAAGGGGGAAAAAAGGCTAGAGTATGATTTTTTTAATGACATCAAAAATAGCTATTTAAATATTTGTTATTACAACTACTACATAGATTCAAGAACTAAAAATAATGTAACAACAACAACAAAAATCTGTTTACAGTGCTGATTTAAGCTTACCATGAGCAGCTTTCAATCATGACTATTATCACCAAGGTCACTGGACCAGAAAAATATCCCTGTTCTCTGGAACATATGCCTCAGGTTACAGAAACTAAGATGACCACCACAAAGATTAAGAGCAGCTCTGTTCTTGGACCTGCACAATGCTATATAATGAATATTATGTGATGAAGGCAAAAAGTGTAACTGAGACTTCATTTTACAGTTACAACTGTTTGCTTGAACGGATGGTGAGTGGGACAACATTCTTTTAAAACTATAGTATGTATTTCCTGAAAAACAGAATACTGATACTACCTTAGTCTCAAATAGGAAGAAAAGATCAATTAAGACTACTGAAGAAGGCACATAACCTTTGGTCCTGTTTTGTTTTTCTCCCTCTATAAAACCCCCAAAACTAATATTTTAGTAATTTTCTATTTTTTAAATCATTCACAACTAGCTGTTAAAATTTGCTCTGAAAAAAGACTGCAAATAGTCTTGTAGACAATAACACAGCTCTTAAAAGACAGCTGAGTTATATTTTCTTTAAAGAAAAAGTTCTGTGCAATCTAAATTGTATTTCTTTTAGCACAACAGTAGAATATTTTAAGTCTGGCAGTTTTATTCTTGTTAACAACAGATCAAGACAAAGGAAAAGTTAAGAAAAATGCTTTTACACATAGTCATGCTGTCTTTTTGGTTTTAAAAATAGCAGTACACACTAGGTTTTCTAAGCGATAGGCTGATAGTTTGGCAAACAGGGCTTTTAAGTGACTCACTGGGTGGTGGTGGGGAACACATACTTTTGAGCTTGTCATCTTTTGTCCAAAAATACTTAGTGGAAACCGAAGAGGAATTACATGTTAATATAAATGTATAACCTTTGCTGCCTAATGACACGGAAGCTTTCAAAAGTTTATATAAAACTGATCAGAGACATTCATGAGAGTTACTTTTAATCAACTGAAGCAGAACCTATAATCACCATCCTAGGTGGAGAAAGGCATTGCTTCCATAAGGAATAGGCAGGCAAAAATTGTCTCTAAAAACTGTGAGATTTCAACAAAATCAGAAACATTACTACAAATTAACATTACAATATTTAGCCTTAAATAACGAATTTATGGCATTCTGCAGGAGCTATTGGGTAATTCTGATACTCTCCTGTAAGTTATCAAATTATTAAGGTTATTTTTCTATTTGTATCTCACAGGAAAAACAATTTACTGCTATGCAAATTATTTAAATCTCAAAGTAGAACTTTTTGGCATAAATTGCTACTGCTAAACGTGTACTGCTATTTTTTAATAAAGTCCTGAATATACATACTTTGTCTCAAAGTCAGACACCTCCAAAAATAAGACAATATTCCTTAAAATTAAGTAAATAAACTTAAAAATAGGATACTATGACAGCTCAACAGCAAAAATAAACATTGCTCAGAAGATATCAACTAAATGCATGCCAAAACAAAAAACACAAAGATCTAGTTTTTCCACTGCCCTGATATTTTAAAATCTTTTTACATAAACTATACCAACACAAATACTGTAGACCTCTATAATTCAAAGAGCAAATAGCCCAATATGGACAACATCCATGTGCTACAGCTAATTTTAGACACAAATTGATGGTTGCAAACACACTATTTTAAACAAGAATATCTCACCTTTTCCAAATCTTAATTTGATTAACGTTCTTTGTCAATAAATTAAGATGTATGTAATGTGCATATGTATGTACAACACTAGAAAAGTGTATGTATGTATATACACTTATCTATACACACACACACACGTGCGCACAAATCCCTGAAAAGGATTCAAATGTTCTCTCTCAAATATGAAGGCCATTCCCTACTTCAAAATTACATTCAATACCATTGTGATCTCCCTTCTGCTACACTTACACTGTTATAGGAATCATGAATTAAAACTACACAGTAATTTCTAACTAAAAAAAACCCAATTTAACATGCCACTGAAAATTATAATAGTGCCTGTATGGAAGGAAAAAAATGAAGCAATTTGGGGAGATTTCTTAAAGAAATTGTTTTTTCCCCTTCCCTCTTACTCAGTGTTTTGATAAAAATATATTTCATAAGTGAAAAAATAAAAATTAGATAAATGATTATACCTATCAGCCAATAGTAAAATTGATCCATTTGAAAGATCTCAATATAGTGTCCTCCTTTGTATTCTAACAACTAACTGTTGCTCAGTGTTGAGTGAATTCTGCTTTTTAACAATTATCTTTTGTAGTCTCCAATTTTTTATAAAATTTCTTCCTGTGTTCAAATTAATGGCTGGAATATAGCAAAGAAATTGAGATATTCTTTTAAAAGGTGAGATGAACCACTCTGAGCATCTGAAAAGTGTAAAAGGGGTGGACAAAAATGACCCTTTTAACAAATTCTGCTTTAAAAAAATCTGATCAAGCACTGAAGGAATAATTAACAAAAGCAAAGTATCTAACTAAAAAGAAACAATTTTACATTATACAATCACTGAAGCAACATTAAAATGTACTCTCACATTCAACTAAAAAGACGGACAGAGTATGAGAAAGAATCCACCTTCTCATACTCCATATATGTGGGCACTCAGTAATGAAGTTACATTAACAAAGAAAAGCAAGTTCTCACCAGTATATGACAAAAACCAAGTAATCCTGAGACAAATTCTAATGGGTGATAAAGATCAGACAAGATCCAGAACTGAGACTGCATGTTATAGCCCCAAATTGGTATGCTATAACTGGCAATGACCACTATTGGTCACAATATGAAGAGGCCTACAGGTGTGCACTGAGTTATTCCCCAAACCGTTTAACCCTTCCTCACCCCATCTCTACACCAAAGCACCAAAAAATTTGAATAGAAACTATTAGTTATTGAAAATCACTTAAAATTGCAATGAAAAAAACTTTAAAATCCTTACCAAAACAGGGAAAGAAAAAACAAATGCTCACCAAGCCCACGATATAGCTTTCAAGATACTTAGATAAAAGTCTAACCTATTATATCATAAGCACATAATAAGGCACATAATAGGAAATTAAGTAAATACACAGTAATTCTGAATAAGTATTAGAGATTATAGTGGTACAAAAAACCCTTGAGATTGATTTTTTTCTAAAAGAAGACTTTACCAAAAATAACTTTTAAAAAATCTGTCAAACCATATGATAGACCTGAATATTTTCCTTAAGACTGTAAACTTTTTTCTGAAAACAACTATAAAAAAGTAGTTTATAAGTAGGATTATTTTTCTTTTTAAATTTTCCAAGATCATATTATATTATTCGGCAAGTGTCATTTTGAAATTTAAAACATGATTTTTCCTAATAAAATTATTAATTATTCTGACATCTTAATAGATCCTGGTTGGATTCCACTTAATTTCCCTGGAGACAGTTGAGACACTTCATTCTCCAAATAGTCTTAAAAAGTTAAAGATATGCAAAGGAGTGTCTTACAGTGGAAAAAAAAAATTGAAAGAAAACACGCAGATTTATAAATTTGCTTCCAATACAACCCAATTTGTTTATGTATAGTAAGTATCAGTATATGCCAAATAACTGATGTAACTTATAAGGGAACACAGTTTTCTAGAGGAGTCAAACTTCTGAATCATACAGTTAAAATTGGTTGTAGGTAATTTAAATTACTTATGTCAAGTAATTTTAAAAGTCTGTATGTTTAAATTTTTCAAAGTACAAAGGAGTTTAGAAATGTTGTATAAGGCTGATCTGGACCCAAACGAAAAGAAAGACCGTCCTCTTGAAATCCAATTTAATATAGGGAATTAAATTATTGAAAAAAATTTTTTTCCTGATTCTTTTTTCCTGAAGATGATTTTCATTTTAGAAACTATGGGACAAAGGAAAAACACGCCTCTGGTGACGTATTGGCAGAGGGTTTAAGGGAAAAGAGAACATCCCATGATTTTTTGAATATACTTGAATATCAAACTCAGGAAGAGTTATTTTTGTGAAAGAGGCAGAATTGGTCTTGAGCTGCTTCAGTCTATGTCTGAAGGTTTTACTAAAATTATGGTCCAGTCTTAGGAGAAAAATTCACAGAAAAGTTAGATTGTAGATTTTGAGAAGGAAACTCTGAGGTGGTGATTTTCTCCAAGGTCATGGTTATGAAGTTCAATGAGAGCCTGGATTGCTTCTTCCACAGATCCCAACTGAATGAGTGCCATTTTGCGATCTTTCCTGAAAATGGTAGAAGAAATAGAAAAAGCATATAGAATTAATTTTGCCTACAAACCTCTTCCCCAGACCTAGAAGACTTCATTAAACTACCTTAAACATTTGCAGATCATATTAAATAATGTTAATGTATTTCTTAAAAGCATGGACTTACTGAAAGAATTTAAAAGCCTTCACTGAACATCCGGCCTCTGTGAAAAGGTTCTTCAGATCATCTACTGTAACAGAGGGGCTGTGAAAACATTACAGAGAGAGTCAACTATCTTATCCCTAATTTTTAAGTGATGCAAAGATTAACTCCTGAAATCATCAAGTCTCCAGAATTTTCACATTTCAAAGAGCATAAAGCCATGCAATGAAGACATGATTTGCAAGTGCCCTGAAAGATGTTCAAGGCTGATGCATACATGTTCTCAAACGATGGAATTTTGTCTCAAATCTTTTGCACAGGACATGGGCAGTATATAAAGAACAAGAAAATCTTTCTATATTTATTCTTTCAATGGGATTATTACCCACAATTAACTCTAGTACTTCCAAAGATACTTCCCTAGCTCTAACTTGTCTTCTATGGTCCAGCGTTTTCCACTACTAGGCCAGTAGATTTTCAATTACTTTCAGGGTAATTATGAACATGTGTACGTGGCAACCAGGTTCTAAGATAGCCCCCAACTACTCTTGCCTCCTAGTATTCACACTTTTGGTACTCCCCTCCCATATCTAGTAAGGATGTCCTCTGTAACCCTCAGGGTATTGTAGGTATGACACATGTGACTTCTGAGGCTGAGAGACACTGCAATTTCCACCTTGCCCTCTCTTGAATCACTAGCTTTGGAAGAAACCAGCTGCTATTTCACGTGGACAATCAGCAGCCCTATGGAGAGCTCCTTGTGGCAAGGAACTGAGGCTTCCTGTCAACAAGTAAGTATATGGTGAGCCACTTTGGAAGTGGATTCTCTAGCCCCAGTTAAGCCTTCAGATGCAACCTTATGAGAGATTCAGCCAAAACCACCCAGCTAAGCCACTTCTGGATTCCTGACTTACAGTAACAGTTTGAGATAATGAACATCTACTATTGTGTTAAGCTGTTAAGTTTTGGGGTGATCTATTACGCAGCAGTAGATAACTAATACAGTGGTCTATCACATGAGAGTCAAATGACTAAAAGCAGACTCTTCCTCATCTCACAACTCCTAGCAAGGAGGGTGTTATAGAACAATAATTGGCTCTGCAAGGAGACAGATATAAGTTCACATTCTATTTTTCATTCACCTGGTATGTCACTCTTGAGTAAGTTACTTAATCTGAGCCTCTCACTTTCATTGTTAAAATGAAACTAATGACCTTTACTCCAAATGTTATTATGGATAAATTGCTAGAGACAGAATGTAGAATAGTGGTTACCAGGGACTGGGGGTAGAGAGAAACGAGGAGATACTGTTTAATGGGTACAGAGCTTCAGTTTGAGATGATGACAAGGATCTGCAGATGGATATAAGTGATGGTTGCACACTATGAATGCACTTAATGTGAATGTACACTCAAAAATGGTTAAAATGGTAAAACTTAGGTTATGTATTTAACCACAATTTAAAAAGAAGGTTATTATGGAGATTAAATGAGGTAACGCACGTAAAACACCAGCACAGTGCCCAGACTTGGCAGATAGTTAAAAAAAGTATTAACGTCCTTTCTCTCTTCTACCTACATGTCCAATGCAGGTTGCAACTTGAGACCAGTTCCTGGATAAATGTACTTAAGAGGGAGCCTGCTTTAGTATTTAAATATGTTGCCTCTCTCCCTGACTCTGTAGTGATGAGGTGCTAAATTTCTAGATTTTTTTCTCAAGTGACTCTTCCAGTTGCCTGGCTGGCATGAGGTTTGAGCCATCGCCCAATTCGGATTCAAGGTTTCTCCATATAGCCTAATTGGAGACTAGCTAGGAGCCTGGGCATTCAACAGCATTTTGAATAATTATTTTCTCTTCCTATTCAAATCCCATTCTCATTCTCAGAAATATTACAGTAATGTACCCTTCTCCATTCCCTCAGTCTTTAACTTTTCACACACGTGCTCGCACACAACTATACCCCACAGCTTTTACCCTTCCTTCCCAAAGCTTATCCCTCTTCATGTATTAGATTAAGTTATATAAAATTGCCAACTTGGGACTTCCCTGGTAGCGCAGTGGTTAAGAATCCGCCTGCCAATGCAGGAGACACAGGTTCGAGCCCTGGTCTGGGAAGACCCCACATGCCGTGGAGCAACTAAGCCCATGCACCACGACTACTGGGCCCGTGCTCCGCCACAAACAGAAGCCACTGCAATGAGAAGCTTGCACACCGCAACAAAGAGTAGCCCCTGCTCGCCACAACTAGAGAAAGCCCATGCACAGCAATGAAGACCCAATACAGCCCCCTTTGTACGTCAAGGATTTCAAGAATTAAAACTGGGGTTGCCAGGTGCTTTCTATAAAGGGCCATACAGTAAATTTCTTAGGCTCTGATGGCCATACAGCCTCTGTTCTAACTATTCAGCTTTGTTGTTATAGCTCAAAAGCAGCTATAGCTAATACATAAATGAATAAATGTGGTTGTGTTCCATAAAACTTTATTTACGGAAGGTGAAATTATAATTTTATGTAATTTTCTCAAATCACAAAAAATTTTTCTTTTGTTTTTCTGTAACCACTTGAAAATGTAAAAACCAATCTTAGATCATAGGCCTTACAAAAACAGATGGATTTGGACCATAGGCTATAGTTTGTCGATCTCTAAGTTAGATGACTAAAGAACAAGTCTGCTACAACACTGGTTAAATACAGAGTGGTTACAAGAAAATTTTTAGCTTTTAGATATATATATGGCTTTGCAGCTTGTAGGTAAAAAATAGAGAATTCAGTTTTACCAAATTCTTAGATACATAAATTATTTGATTTTGCTATGCTGGTCACTAAAGGGTCTTTACTTATACAAAAGGATGAACAAGTATACACCAGTGGAATATTTCTGCACAGATTTTTGCCATTCTATAACTGAAAGTTAACAGGTGCTAATTCTCTGGAAAGAAAAATTTAAAACATTGCTATCTTTCACTTTCATAGTGTATAGTTAGAGATAAACTTCTTAAGACATGATGGCAAATAAATCACCTTACGAGAAATTAGTGAATAGGACAACTGCTACGTTAGAATAATTTCAGTTTTTACCTCCCCAAACCATATACTATAGATTATTAATCATCTAAATGAACAACTAATTAGATACATACGGGATGTTGGAAAGATGCAGAGTAGCTGATGGTGGAAAAATATTCTGGAAGTTTTTAGAGCCAGGCTTTTTAAAGCGATGCAAAGGACTATTGCTAAAATCCTTAGTCAGACCTTGGTCTTCTTGTCCCTCTCGAGGAAGCTGAACTGCTTGATGTTTGGACAGTGTAGCACGAAGCACTTTCCCATAAAGTCTCTGACCACTCAGATGGTTCATTGCTGGTGCATAAGAAGAAAATAAGGAAAGTCTGGGTACTAAGATAGAGTCTCTGTAAAACTGTCTATCATAATTCTTTTTATTTAGTCACTTAAAAAATTATACTGTCAGTTTGAGGGCTTAAATGGTTTTAAATTTAAAAACTCTTATATACGAAAATGTATTAAATTGTTTTTCTGTTTTTCTGTAATGAAAGAAAAGCAGTACAACAAAAAGTAACTATTTTCCTAGCAGAGTGCTAGGAAGTTCCAGAGTGCCTGAAACATACCACATGTTCAGGAAATGATTATTGAATAAATTAGTTTATCTCAAGTATATATATATTTTTAAACATCTTTATTGGAGTATAACTGCTTTATAACGGTGTGTTAGTTTCTGCTGTATAACAAAGTGAATCAGCTCTACGTATACATATATCCCCATATCTCCTCCCTCCTGCGTCTCCCTCCCTTCCACCCTCCCCATCCAACCACCCTAGGTGGTCACAAAGCACCAAGCTGATCTCCCTGTGCTATGTGGCTGCTTCCCACTAGCTATCTATTTTTAATCCCAAGCTTTTTTTAATAAAAAATCTGAGTAATAATATTTCAACAGCCACTATAATAATAAATGGTGAGATTGTAGAATGACACTTTCTTGAACCATCATTATGAAGTATTCCCAAACTGTTATGCCATGCAATAGTTCTAGAAAACTTAATTTGAAAGGAAAATAAGTAAACAAGCAAACAAACAAATAAAATGAAAGAAAACAAGTCATGTTTATTAGTTTAAAGCTAATGGAAAGACCCGAGTCAAAGCTCTAAACATCAACAATATATTCAAATAGATAAATGAACTTCAAAGAATAATAAATATTTAAAAATCTTAAAATATAAGCAGATCCAAATAATAATGGAGATATTAACATAAGGAGGTACTCTTCCTACTAGCCGTAAGTTTATTTTATAGGAAAATTCACATACAAAAGGGGCAGGTTATCATTATTATTATTAATCATTAGTACCTAGCTGAGCTTGATTTGCATCTGCCATCTGAACCAATGCATTTTCTTTCTTATTGAACATTATCTTCACTCGATGTACATCACCATATACTCCTAATTAAAAAGACAAAACAATTTTTTAATGCTGATTGTGTAATGTTCAATTAACTTTACTAATATATTTAAAGAAAGCTTCTTTTCTCATACTATATGCTTTCCCTGGGCAATTTCATACAAATGCTCCCAAATTTGTAATCTCTTCTATGTTCCAGATTTATTAATCTAGTACCCCCTTTCACCTGGATGTCCCATAAACACTTCAACTGATTCACCTGCTCTTTCCTGCACCCTCCTGTATTCACTAACTCTGTTGATAAACAGTACCATCATGCACATATTTGCTCCAGTCAGACATCTGGGAGTCATCTTTTGACTTACCCCTTTCCTTAGACACTTACACATCCAGTCAACTACCAGCACTCATTGATTCTATGGCCTAAATATCTCTCACATTTGTCCACTTCTTCCCATCCTCACTACCATCAAACCTATTATCACCAATTCACATCTGGACTATCATCATAGCCTCCTAACTGATCTCATTACATCCACTTTTTCTATGCTAGTGTTCCCCAAAGTGGGTCTCACATCCCCAAAAGCAGGCAAAATGATTCACTGGGGTGTGGGAGGAAAATAAACTTTTACTTGTACTGATTTGTTTATATAAACCAGTATGAAAAACTACATTTTACTAATTTTCAGCATATAGAAGAAATTATACACAGAAGTTTCTACAATATGAAGGGCATTCTCTCATTTTTTAAAAATCTAGTGTATTAAAATATATTGCAATTTATGTGGAACAGGGTATCACCAATATCATAAAAATAAGATCTTTAAACAGTAGTATCATTACCATATTTTGTAATAGGATGAGAGAATGACTATGACAATCTTCAAGGCACACAAAGGAGTACTGGTTATCTTGTGGGCAAGCCCCTAAGAGCAACTAAACTTAAGAGGTGAATGGTAGTTTTAAAATTAAAACAAAAAAAGACAAGTATTCCAAATTTGCTGCCCTTTTCAGAAATGACAAGTGGCTGAAATAGATACTCTGTAAAAAATAACACACAATTTGTTCTTCAAGCTGAGGGTGATATTTTTCTAAATGATTGAAAAATTAACTACTTTTGGAAAGAAATGTGCTCTGGCTATTAAAGAGACATGAACATTTAGCATTAATAAATGATTTTGTTAATGAAAATTACATAAATGTGTCATGAATAAAAACTTTTACAGTAACTGCAAATGAGTATAAAGTTTCTCTGTGGGGTGATAGAGATATTCTAAAATTGGACTGTGGTAATGGCTGCACAACTCTGTAAATTTACTAAAAATCACTGAGTTGTACATCTGAAGTCAGAGAATTATAATGGCTGTAAATTATATCTCAAAAACGCTGTTAAAAAAACCTATTACCAGGCTTCCCTGGTGGCACAGTGGTTGAGAGTCTGCCTGCCGATGCAGGGGACGCGGGTTTGTGCCCCAGTCCAGGAAGATCCCACATGCCGCGGAGCGGCTGGGCCCGTGAGCCATGGCCGCTGAGCCTGCGCGTACGGAGCCTGTGCTCCACAATGGGAGAGGCCACAACACTGAAAGGCCCGCGTACCGCAAAACAAAACAAAACAAAAAAACCTATTACCCACTCAAAAAATTTGAAACAATTTTCCATCCTCTTAAAAATTCTTCCACATGAAGAGTGAGTTTTAACCCCATTATGCTAATGTAACAGTTTTCAAGATCAACTCATTTAACAAGAGGAAAAATGGAACTTTTCTAGGTAAAGTACAACAAAATTTAGTGGATTAGACTGAAAAATTAGTATCATAATTATTTAGTACAGCAACAATGAAACACTTCCATTCAAATCACCTATCTTTTTTTTTTTTTTTTTTTTTT